GGTGCTTTATTTCTGCTTGAATAGTTAATCTAGTACTGCTGGAGGGAATTTTTGTTACCACATGTAGAGAGCCATGTGACTACCAGCAAAACAAACGTAAGAAACTAAAGACTAAATTGTGATGAAAAGTCAGAGGCCAAATCCTGATACCCTACGCTGAGCCTACCCATGACCATTTTGCTATCAGGACTTTACAAACATGCAAATAAATAAATACATTATCATCTTTGCTAATCATCTTAAGATAGGATTCTGATAGTTACTACTATATCAATAGCAACTAACATAAAGTTCACGGTTTTATTACTATTAACACTTAATAGTTGTACAAATTATTTGGATCAACTGTGATATTACTCTATATGCATATGAGATATGATCAAAATACAGTGAATATTTACATTTAAAAAGTAAGCACAGTAAAAGTCACATTGCCATTAGCCCCACTCATAATATTTACTTCAAAAGCACTTATATAGCATTATTCTTCCAATTTTTGGAATCAGTTCTGGAAGTCCTCTTTTGTAGGTATTTTTACAAGGTAAAATAATCTATGAATTCTGCTGCCTAGCACCATCCAATAGAAAGGCAGGCTCATGAAAACTTAGCTCATCCACATTATTCACCAGACCTGGCACCATGTGACTTCTGACTCTTCCTCAAAATTAAAATGATAATGTAAAGTAAACATTTTGAATCAATTCATGACATCAGATCAGCCAAAACAGAACAACTAAAGCACTCAGGACTTTGAGAACTCCTTTAGAAGAACGATAGGCTAACTGTGGTGAAAGTGATAATATCATATAAAGTTTGGTTTTTTGAGGGGGCATTACATGTGTGTTTTACTGTAATACACTTTTAATTAAATCATTCATGTTGTTTTTCAATCACACATCATATATCATTCATTGATTATATCCCTCCACTTTTCTTCTACCATTACTTTCCACTCCTCCCTCCATCCCCTGCATCGTTCTCACTGCCTGGTAACTCCTCTTCTATTTTATGGTGTGTTTTTTTTCTTTAAGTTTTCATATATGTGAGAATATAAATAGTACTTGTATTTTTGCTTCTTATTTCATTTAATATAATGCCTTCCAATCTCGTCCATTTTTCTGGAAATGACAAGATTTCATTTTTCTTTGTGGCTGAATAGTATTTCCTTTGGCTATAAACCTGAGCATGGAATAACTGGGTCATATAGTATTTCTATTATTAGTTTTTTAAGAACACTCCTTAACTGTTTTCTACACTGGCTGTACTGTTACATTACCACCAATCATATTTAAAGATTCTTTTATCTCCATATCCTCATCTCAATGTGGCTTTCATTTTATATTGTGGTTTTGATATTGAGAATATTTGACATATTTATTGGTCATTTTTATTTCATGACAAATGTATTCAAATCCTTAGCCCAATTTTTAATTAGATTACTTGGTTTCGTTGTTAAATTTTTGAATTCTTTATATTCTTGTTATTAATCTTATATCAGATGAATAGCTTCTCATATTCTGTAGGTTGTGTCTTTCCTCCATTCATTGTTTCCTTTGTTATGCAAATGGATTTAATTTGATGTAAGCCCACTTATCAATTGTTGCTTTTGTTTCCTGTGCATTGGGAGTCTTAACCAGAAAATCATTTTACTAAAATTTTACATTGTCCTCTAGTAGTTTCAGGTTTTATACTAAGATCTCTGATTTATTTTGGGTGAATTTTTCTACAAGATGAAGGATAAAAAGATATATATATATATATATATGTACTCTTGGTTTTATTTTAACAGGTCATATGTGTGCATAAATTTGTTTGTTTTTTCTGGATTTTTAAATTTTCAAGTAATACCTAATGATTCTCTGAACTGCTGTACTATTTAAGTTGTACTGCCTTCTTATTTATCTAATGTTGGGTATGATTTCTTCTTACTTTCCTTAGACTCTGGAATGCATTGTTTATTTCAGATCTATTTTTTGATGGATCTCAAATAAACTCATTACTATAAACTTCCCCTTCGTATTGGCTTTGCCATATCCCACAGATTTTGGTATATTCTGTTCCATTTTCTTTTGTTTCAAGAAAATTTTAAATCTTCCTCTGACTTCCTCAATGACTCACTGTTCAAAAGTGTGTTGTTAATCTCAACGTATTTCTATAAATTCTAAAGTTTTTCCTGGTATTGATTTCTAATTTCATTTCATTCTTATCAGAAAAATTATAGGCTGTAATTTCAAACTTTTGGAATTTGTTAAGATTTTTAAGACTAAGATGTGGCCTATTGTAGAAAAAGTTCTATATGCTGATTAAAAAAAAAAATGTGTGTCCTGTAGCTGTGGAGGAAATGTTCTGTAAATATCTGTTAAGTCCTCTTAATCTAAAGTGTAGTTTTAACTTTGATCTTTCTTTGTTAATTTTTGGTCCAGATGAATTGGTGCAAGTGGAGTGCTGAATCTCACTAATATTACTATATTGTACACTATTTTCTCCTTTCACATCTAATAGTGTTTCTTTACAAAATCGGGGACTCCAATACTAGGTGCATACTGATTTATAATTATTATATCTTCTTGATGAATTGATTCCTTGATCATTATATAGTGACTTTCATTTTCTCTTGATACTGATTTTTGTCTATTCTGTCAGATATAAATCTAGTTATTCTTGCTTGTTTTGGGATTCTATTTGCTTGGAATATCACTTTCTATTATTTCATGTTCAATCTGTGTGTGACTTTAATGGTAAGGTGAATTCCCTGAAGGTAAAACTCTCAGCTAAAGTGATTGTAAAAGTGAGCAAGATAGAATGTAGTCAGCACTGGTCAAAATATCTTTCTTGATTTTTCAGCTTCGTGACTTACTGGTGGGATCACACCCTACTTGAGATGGCCATGCCTTGTGAGTGGGGCAGCAGTGAAACCTCAGAGTTTATTCTGTGACTCACAAGCTACAAGTGTCTGTGTGTAGTAAGAACTTTGTGGGCAAACACTCTCAGTTCTGGCACCTGTGTGAAACCACAGGTGAGTGCTCATGCCCCGGATCTTAGAGTGCAGGTTTATCATCCCCTTCACTTCCTTCCAAATTGCAACATCTGTCTCTAACAAGATAACATTTTCAGTGGGCTTATGCCAGAGTCTATTGAGCAGCATCTGGTTTGTGAGACAGGTACCTAATGAGTTACTACAGGGGAATGTCTTTGGGGGTCCCAGAAATAGGAATATACAGGTGTTTCTGAACCCCTAGATCAGTCCAAATTCAGTCAAAAGCCCACTTCTCAACATGATTCCTGGCTACAACACTCTAGGGTTTTGCTAGGAGATGAAGTAAGTTTCATCTCCAAAGCCAGACTACCAGATATGTAGATTTTAGGGCTCTGGTCTATTTCAGTTGTAAGCCTACAATGACCACAAAACTTTCCAACTGCTAGGATTGTCAGTACCTGTGCTGACAGTTTGCTGGGACTCTTTCTTTTACCTTTACTGCTGTGGTTGAGAGGCTGTTTCTCTCCAAGTCTTGGAACTAGGGCAGCAGATGATGAGCTATTTTGTGCCTCCTCCTGTGGTATTCACACAGGTGTCTCAATTTTAAAATGTTTCCATTTTCTACTATCAAATTCCAATGTTCTGCACTCACTCACCTCAATATACAGTTATATACCTGTTGCTGTAGTGCTTTGTGGAGGGCTGAATGCTGGATCATTTTATGCAGCCATTTTGCTAATCACCTCAAATTTAAAGTTTTACATTTGGTCCTAAATCATATATCTATATCTATATCTATATCTATATCTATAGATAGATATGTTCCAGTATTTCCTCCTCTTCTAATAGATTTGACAAAGTTGAAATATAAATACTCCATTTAAGCAGAACTCCTGAGCAGTAAATGACAAAGACTAGATTTTTAGGATCTCCTTTAACAAACTGTAAATCAATAAAAGAAATATGCTCAATAGGGCTGGGGATTTAGCTCAGTGGTTTTGCCGCCTGCTGTGCAAGCGCAAGGACCCGAGTTCGATCCCTGGTACCAAAAAAAAAAAAAAAAAAAAGAAATATGCCCAATAATTTAAAAAAGTAATAGTTTATTTGTATTGTTATTCTATTTATACACAAGGCCTAATTTCTCCCTATGCCTTGACATATACAAATCCTCCCTGTCCCCTCTTTTTGAGACACAATGAACTCTTATGTTTTAATCATTAGAATGAACTAATAAAATATTTTCAAAATGCTGGGCAAATTGCTTGTAGTTGTACTTCCATTGATAAGAATTTTTATTTCACAATGCTTTTCACAGGAAAATTATTCTTATTAAATTTTTGCATTGATATATTAGTAATAGATATATACCTAGTATAATGAAAACTGTTAAACATGACAAGGCAAAATCAAACACAAGGTGAAGTTTAACAGATAATAATTTATTTTAAAAACATGAATTAATTGACAGTATCATCTGAGAAATTCTGAAATACTGTTTTTCTGACTAGTTAAGTATGTTTGTATGTTTTTGCTTGATTAAAAAAAGGAAAAGTCTGTCCTGGTTCAATATGCTTACTATTCTTGTTTTATGTGCAATATCTTTTCTATGATTTTCTCATAGATATAATTGTCTTGTTTCTATTCTAAAAATAAATATCTTAGCATAGGAAACTTTTATCATGAATGTAGAGTTTGAATTACTCATTTTCTCCATTGATTAGGAAGTAAATATAAACATAAAGAAGAAATTTATTTTTTGGAAATGACATAATTTACAAATTAAAACTAAGTATCTAAGGTACTAAACTTAAATACAAGTGAATTTAAAACAGATATCTTTCTCTAGTAGGATTAGACACTTTTCTTTATATTTAGTGACAAAGTAATATCAAATTTAAATAATAATATTGATAAAATATATATTTTAAATACATCTCTGCTTTGTCATAACCCATAAGCATTAAAAAGAAGTAAAATTTTAATAATCTACCTTATGCAAGAAATAATGAGGTAAGCAACTTACATGATCAATTAGTTCACGAACCATTCCATTCCATTGTCCATTGGCATCATCTTGAGCTCCATATTTCCCATCCTCCACAAGTCTAATTTCATATGTAAAGCCAAGGATTGTGGCTAACTCTCTGAGGAGATCAATACAATAGCCCTCAAATCGATCGTTCCCATAGAGAGGTTTGTCAGACTTCTTAAACAAGACATAAGGTTCTTCCTGGAAATATCAAATATGAAGGAAGAAATATCAATTGAATATGAAACAGTATAAAAGACTTTTAAAGACAATTTTGTATTAATTTAGATTAAAAAGAGATATTCAGCTTACTTAGTGAATATTTATGCTTCATAATAATAAAATACACCATTAGTACATAATAAAATATATAACACATAAAATATATTATCTAATATATAGATTCTACCAAACATAATAAATAAAATATATTATATAATAAATAATATGATATAACCTGCTCTATAACATGTAATTTTGACATGATTACAATATTCCTATTTGAGTCAGCAAATCAATATTTGTAGAAGTCTTTCAGTGAGATCTCTGGATGAACTGAACCAAAATAATTCATTGCCTAGTTGTCAACTCTGTGCTAAGGGATGCAGTGGGAACTTTTTATAGACATTATCACATTTTGCACTAAAATCCATGAAAATTGCAACAATTATATTGAATAACAAGAGGAAAAAACAGTAGCTACTTCAAAATAAAAAGAAACAAATATTTATCAAATCCTTAGGCATTTTCCATCATCGTTTTATACAGTCACTGTGAGCCAGTCCCCTCTGCTCTATAAAAGAGAAACTCTTGAGCCATGAAGTACATGATATCAGAAAGGAACCATAATAAATGCCTAAACAAATAGCACATATAACTCAGATGTTAAATGATATGAAAACAGAATAGTTCAACAAGGTAGAGAACAATATCAATACATTTGATAAGAGAAGACAGGACGAAATTGGGTAATACTATATATCTGCAAGTCTTTTCTGAGGAGGCAAGAGATAAGGTAGATCATAATAGTGAGAAAGAGTTTAGCCATTTGAAAATCTGAGAAAAGAACATAATACATCAAGGACACAGCAAAGAAAAAACGCTTTCTGGAGCAGTTTGAGACATCTTCTTTTTGTATGTCTTTAGTCATGCTGTTGCAGCTGCCCTGATGTCCTGAGTCAGTTCAAAACATTCATCTTTCATGGTCATTTTGCCTTTGCCAGCAGTTGCACAATGCCAGATCTGGGGAATAAGGTGGATGCAGGACCCACCATAATATGTCTGCCTTTCCATTGACTGGCACTCAATAGTAGCAGTCACAATATTTTTGATCATATCTAATAAAGATGCTCACAAAGAGGACTTCCAGAACTGCTTCAGAAAGAGTCAGAAATAATGATAAAAGTGTATTCAGAGAAGCCAGAGCATTTTGAAAGTGATTAATGGCAATGCCCCTCTTACTGTGATTAATTTTGTTTAATTTAAACATTTACCTTATATTTCGATCACACCATATCTGTTAATTCTACCAACCTCATACTTTGTCTTTTGTTTGTTTAATTATAAATAAATAATTTACTGTTAAAAATGAATGAATGGCTTTTTATTTAAAAGGCACAGAGATTGACAAATTATTAAGTTTCATGTGTTAAGCAAGAAATACTATAAACATTTTCCAAGCACTTAAATTTTGGCAGGCCTCATTCTGAATGCTTTTACTTCAATTAATTTATTTTGTCCTCCTAATAACTATATGAAATCAACAATATTATTTCCATTTTACAATGAAGAAACTGAAAGAAAAAGTGCTAATTGTTCTTAACCCAAGATCGATAGCCAATATAAACCCAGATACTCAGTCTGCTCAATCACTTACCACCACAATATGCTTCTCCAATTAAATGATTTTGAGTGATCATTTCCAGACTTTATATGATCACATATAATTCTATATCATCATTATATAGATACATGCATGGTTTATGGCATTATGATTTTTTAATCACCTAGGATTATCCACTAGGCACATAAATTATTTACTAACTGAATAATGCAATCAAGACATCACACAAGTGAATAAAAGTAAAAATATCATCCAGAAAATTTATTGTCTGCATGACACACTATCTACTCCCTAAATATGAATATGTTTTTTAAAGATAAAAGTACTTTGAGAATTTGTAAAAATAGCATATGCTAAGCCTATCAGATTCAGGGAGCAATATATGAATAAGTATTTTTTCTCTTCAAATTATTATTCAAATTTCTATTCAAATTATTAAAACATCATTGTCTAAAATATTTATGGCACAAAAATATTTATGGCATATTTTTATACAAATAAGCTTCACACTGGGAAAAACATGGTAAAAATTAACCATTACTTAAGAGTATGAGGAGTTAAGGTACATGTTGCCAGGCATGAAAACACAGCAAAATATTTTTCAATGCCATTATGTTATTTAAAACTTATTAATACAACTTGCCCAAGTAGCCTTCCCACCTATTAAATTGATTTTCTTTATCTAAAAGCTAATTAGAAAACTTCTACCATAGGCAAATAAATTTGCTGATTCTGTACGACTAAAGCACCTACTCAGATATATGTTTTAAATAGCTTTGAAAATTAGAGAAAAATATGTGTAGTCTAAGTCTCTTTTTACTATTTATGGATCTCCACAAAGTCAAGAATTACTTTTCTCATATTTAATGCTGATAAGACATAGTCTTCCAACAGTGATTACTATCTTCAGCTACACTGTGTCACAAGATAGTTTTATATCAAGTTATGACCCTTCTTTAAACTCTTTCTCTGTTTCATATGGCACAAGGATAAATAATAACCTTATGTAAGAAAAAGAAAAATGGTACCAGAAGCAATTGCTCTATCACAGACTGAATTCAATGAATAATATGATAAAACTCTCCTGGGCAAGTTTGCTGATTTTTCATGCAGTCTTAAATCTGTACATCAGCATTTGCTAGAGGTAAAGACACTTTATTCTACTGGCATTTGTAATAAAAATTTTTCAGCATTGCCACTATCAACCCCAGTTTTAGGGAGCCCACCTATATCTCATGTATTTTTATCTGCTTTAGACTGAGAGTTGGCATGGAGTAAACCTAAAATGAAGTCCTGGAAAAGTGAAATATGCTTTGAGGTTGAGAGGAATGAAATGTTTTAATATATAATGAACTTTTAATATTTTTGGAGAAAATAGTTTATCCCTCAGCATGTATCTGGAGCTTAATTACCTGCCTTCATTTGTAAGTCCTATGCTACCATTGTCTTTCATATACTATTCAAAACACAGGGTGGGCCGGGGATTTAGCTCGGTGGTTCTGGGGCCTGCCTGGCAAGCGCAAGGTCCCGAGTTCAATCCCTGGTACCAAAACAAAAAAAAACAAAACAAAAAAACCCCACAGGGACATGAAAAACAAATTAATTTTAATGCGAGATATAATATATAATATGACATATATACTAACTGATATGACTAAACTAATTAATGTATTGATTCAAACATATTGAACTACCAAATATATTGAACTACCACTCTGCTCCAGCAGTCCTCTAGAGCACAGGTCATCTGTGAGAAACAATAATATATCAATGATCTGTGAGAAACAATAACATAAAATCTCTCAGTCTAGTGATGAGTTTGAAATTCTCATGTATTATATGTTATCCAGTATTACTTGCTTGTACAAGTTCCTTCATTAATGATCACAAGTAGAATATTTCCATAGAGCACATTTTTGAAAAACAATTCATGTCCAGAATTCTGTAAAATCACAGAACATATGATACTGCAACCCTCAAATCACTTACTTGGGAAAATAAAAAGAGACATTCAAGTAACCCTAGTCTGGTTCTGAATTTATTTGTATGACCAACTGCCTTTTAAAAACTGTGTCCACCAATGAAGATTGATTTGAATGTGTAAAAAAGCATTTACAAAGTTATATTACACATCTTTAATTTTTTCTCAATAAAAATACGGCTGGTCATAAAACTCCACTAGGCAAACTTTTTTTTTAGAGAAATATACCTTTTGGCCAAATGAAAAACATATAATGGTTATAGTAATAAAAAATAAAGTTATAGGAATTAAAATTGAGTCATTTTGCTTTTCCAAGAATCATTTGTTTCCTTCTGTCTTCTGAGCCTTATGTCCACAGTCTCTGTGTCTAATCATTGGCCTTACACCGAAAGCAATAACTCATAAAGAATAACAAGGAAACTTCATTTTGAAAGAGTGTGGAAATCAAGGTAGGTACAAGTGAGTGGAAAGTTTGGAAATAGAAGGATGATGAGTGAGTAGCGTGGTGGTAGAGTGAGGAAGTTGCTGAAGACACAGGAGATGGAAGATGAAAGGACATTACCATACACAGCAGTACTGAGGAGATGCAACAAAACAGAACCCTCCGGACTTCCCATCTCTCATGCTTTACCTGAATTTTTCCAGTTCCTTTTTTGCTATACTTCCTCCATTCAAGCACTAAGATTAAATGTTGAAAACTCTCCTTCACTAGATAGAATAAGTCAGTAATGATGAGTTACCTTGCTTAGCATTCTTTTTAGCCCTTTTTAATGTAACTATTTCATTTAAGGCAACTATCAATCTTATTGAACCAAATTTTTGTGAGTTAGTTTAATTTGATTCTACATAAAAGATGTTCTTAAGTCATAAAAAAATTCAAGAAATCTCAATGTTGATGAAGAAATGAAAGCAGAATACAGGGAGATTTTCAGTAAAGACAATTTTTCTTCAACATATAAATAACCAACTCACTGAAACTATCTGACCATGGCCTATCCCACACACATAATAAGCAAAACTTCTGGGTGGATTTGGATATATAATGTATGAAGTGATCAGAGAAAGGAAAAACAGCTTATGATTATAAGAATGATCCATGATATTAGTATGCCATCGATAGGCATGCTTAGAGACTTTAACCATCTAGGCCAGTATGGAACAATGACATATAAATAAAAATGGAAATCCTTAAGATGATCAATGTATTACCATCTTCTTCTACCTTTTCACAATTCAAATTTTTTATCTGAAGTTTAACAAGATGCATATAGATAGCTACACTGCATAGCCTTATGTTTAAATGTAAGTGTAAAATACTTTCAATGTGTTCATCCATTAATTCAAAACTCCATCCATCCATGTATTAAAAAATCAAAT